GGCTTTAATCGAACTAATATCCCAGTGGGTGAGACGTCATCTTATTGAAATTCATTTTGGTCGCAAACTCTTGTTTGTGCACCTGTTTGATGATGTATACCGATGAAAGCTTACTTTTCACTGCACGGGCTGGCTAAATTTAGGGGCGAATGCTAAGACTTGTAAACTTTGGATTCTTCACAAAGTTTGTTTTAGTGCGATTGTACGATATTGAGATAAAAATGGTTGATAAACAAGCACCATCATACAATTTTCTTTTGACTTAATCTTCGACTGTTAATCGGAAAAACGAATGCTTCTCACTATGCAAAGAGTGACCATGGAGTACTTTTTTTTCTGACATCATACATAATCTCGCAACATCTTATTTCATTTTGATAAATCTACAGAATTTATTTCTACCTTTTATGTTTTACTTTGATAGGTCGTTTCAATAGAAATGTGTCGTTGTTCCACCAAAAGCGCAAAATCTACTAATTAGAAGACTAGCAATCAATAGCTCATTGTCTTCACAGACATGTTTACAGTAGGCTATGCATTATAAACGACCTTTGCAGCAAATGTTCAGAAGATGGAATGTCCAACTGTCGAAAATGTTAAATTACTGCTCGAATGCCAAAGGATTGTGTCTCAAAGTAAGGTTGTTCCACATATTCTACTCATAAATACAATTTTCATCGCTGTTAAGGTTTACTATGAACGTCTGGTGCAGCGAACGGAGGATGAAGCTCGAAGAATTCTAAATTTTCTCGACGTACCATGGACGGATGATGTGCTGCGACATGAAGAGAAAATTGGTAGTGAGGTGAAATTGAATCCGTAAGTAAAGATTTTCTTTGTAATACCAAAGTTTATTCACCTAAACTATTTCGTTGTAGGGAAGAGTTTTCTACCTCTCAAGTAAAGGAAAAAGTGAATAAAAAGGCATTGACTTCATGGTTTGGTTGCTACTCCGACGATGTTTTAAAGGATATTGATAAGCTGGCTCCACTATTACGACAATTAGGTAAAGAAAAGGAACACAGGAAACGATATATGTGGCAGAGCACTGTGCCTTTTACTTTAGGCTATAACACATCAGCTCGAGAGCCCGATTATGAAGAGTTTGCAGGAAAAGCGGCAGATTTCTACTCCAATGTATACAAGTTGTAATTTTGTTTTTTGTGACCTTTTTCTATTTGATTTGAGTACTATAAAAACAATTTAAAACAGTCGAATAAAAACTTTTTACAGCTTCATTAGGCAACAACAAGTCGATGCCGGTCAACCAGTGCTTACAAAGCGTTTTCACAGCACAGAATGTTTAACTTCTCTAATAAACCTAATGTCTCAGCGTTACCTTTATCTTCATTGTTCAGGTTCCAAGGTCAATTGTCTTCAGCATTCGCATTCTTAGTTCAAAGAATGGTGTCTGTGTATGAAGTCAAAAACGGTGAATTTAGGGTGTCTCAAATTGTTTTATGTTTAAATTTGAAACCAATTCAATTCAAATTAAGAAAACCATCTGTACGGCTACTCATAGAACAAAAAGCCCTCACAAAGCCGCACTGGCTCAACCATGGGACTCACAAATTTTCCAAATTTGTCTTTATCACCAACAAAAAGTTTTTCTCTGCCAAAAATAGCAAACAGATCTACAGCTATGGCTTAAAAATCATCTTTGATCTAAAGCAGCTAGGTGAAGACTGCCCTGGTAGTCATGCCAGTTATACAACCGTGCACGAATATAAATTTTCAAACAGCATCTGAGTCAATCTGTCGGAAAAGGATTTCGACTTATGATTCCTTTGTCAGATTAGTGTGCAGCACGGAAATATGTAATCGACTGCATCCCATATCATCTGCACCAGCATTGTCGCACTTTATTCCGCTTGCCATCCTAGAGTTAGATTGTGCACTGTACTTTGAAGTTACCATCGCCAAACAGATGGGTATGAGATTTGTAATAAACGTAAAACAGCAGTAGTGATTAGCGACATAGGTAGGCTCCTAGAATTCTGATGGCATTTTCTGAGAAATTCAACTTCTATCCTTTTCTTTGCAAGTAAACTGAAGTGTTAAATTACGTGATGAATTTGTAAATTTCAATCTAAACCTCACACCCAGATGTTATTATACGAAAAATGGAAAAAAAGATTTAGATTAAAAAAAAGAAAAAGAAAGAGGAAAGAATAAACAATCAAAGTGTTGGGTTACCAGAAAGGCTTACTATTGCTTCAGTTTTTTTTCCACTTTCCAATCAGACTTTTCTGTAACATTGATATACCCTTTTTTTAAGAGCATTCTGGAAAGGGCGTAGGAACAAAGTTTAGCACTGAGATGAAGCGTCGAGTAAGCAAATGTTTATAGAAGGCTACAGGACGATGCTGTAAATGAAAGGCTAAGCATTGTTCTTAATTTTCATTTTTACTTTTTACTAGCCTTCATATCTCAGGACTTCTTTTACGGGGTTCTTGCAAAAACCAACGAAAGATTCTCGCATAGTATTAGTCAACTGTTGCGCCTTCAATTAGTAAATCATAACAACATTATTCTTTGTTCACCCCATGACACAGAAAATTCCATGTTTGTATCTCTAAATATAACGTAGCTGCATCCACAATTTACCATACATTAAGAGTTGGGAGTCGTTGGCACATTGTCAATATCCACGTTCGAACTTCGTGGCCATTCTCATACCATACATGTTTCTTTATTATCAGCGCTATAAATAGCCACACTTCACAGAGGGAGGACGAGAGGAGGAGGCCCTCTTGCCCAGAGTGGATCGCAAAATTGTAACTGAGATAAAACGAGACTTGATTTCAGATACTATTATTCAAAAACTCGTAATGGTCTACCGCCTCATCG